CGATATTTAGGTGTTTTTTTTTTAATATTTACTTTTAAATTAAGAAATTAACTAATATATAATACTAAAATTTGAATTATAATGTACAATTTGATACCAAACTTAGAGAAATAAATTCACAAAATAGTCATTCAACAAAATTTTGAAGGCAAGTCAAGAAATGTGATGACATGGCCATTGATCCATGTCAATATGGTTAAGTTCTACTGTGTATATTAAATTGTGCCATATTACACAGTAATTATCTGACACTTAACACTTTTAGACATTTTTCATGTTGTATCATTATCACTGTTCCTAAACCAGAGATGGAAATGGAAAGAGAAAAAAAAAAAACAGAATATTTAAAACTTCAAACAATTGAGTGTTATAAAATCAAAAATAGGTTTGCCAATTTTTGAAAATTCAAAGTCCATAAAGTTTAATAGTAAATATGTGCACACACACAAACAGTGTGTTTAAAAAGTCACTGCCACTGTTCAGACAACTGCATTCAAAAACTGATGATACACAATGTTGTAAAGCTCAGTGTGTGAACCAATTTGACCATGTGAATGACTTTGTGTACAATGCAGTAACTAACTTTCACAACTTTGTGTTCATCAGTTACATGAATGTAGTCATATGAACAGCCAAAACTATTTTTGATGGTATGTTATGAATTTCGTGCAAAGCTACACAAGGGCTATCTGAGCCTAATTTTGCAATGAAAGACTAGAGGGAAGGCAACTAGTCATCACCATTCCCTGCCAACTCTTGGGCTACTCTTTTACCAACAAATAGGGGGATTGACCATCACATTATAATGCCACAAGGCTGAAAGGGTAAGCATGTTTGGTGGGATGGGATTTGAACCCGTGACCCACAGATTGTGAGTTGAGCACACTAACCACCTGGCTATTATTTTTGAAACATCCAATGCATGCATGTGTGTGTGTGTGTGTGTGTTTATAAAGGATGAAATTACAAACAACAGTAACCACAAAACAGCACTTGTGCTTGCTTCAAGGTGCACAACAAGACTCTTGGGGTTCAAAGACACTTAGGACCCAGAAACTAGAAGGTTGTAAATCCTCAGAGTAGCATTTATATGGAAATAATTTTTGTTCATAAGAGCACATTCTCTATACATGTTGAAAGACTTCTATAACTGCATGGGACTATGCAAACTGGTTCTAAACAGTAATCACAAGGACTACAAATAAAACCAGCTAACTTTAAAGTTTGTTTTTTCATATACAAACAATTATTGTTCTTTCTATTATGCTCTAGATAACCTGACTTTAAACTTTATCAACTTCTTTAATGTTATTAGTTTTCTCACTTCAACGTTTTTGTTACAATTGTAAAATATCAACACTGTGACCTTGAGTAGTATAAACCAGAAATGACAATTGTCACACATGTTTACAGAAATACTGATAAATAACATGAAATACATTACTGTTCGTCTAAAGATGTAAACCATTCCAAGTGCATCGACTGCTCAGTTAATTTTGATATGGAAAAAGAAATTTAATTTTCATGTCATACATTTATTTCCCATGACTTTCGTTAACTGTAATAAATTCTTTTGAAAAATTAGGATTCACTGTCTAAAACTTTATTCTTGGATTTACACTGATCTATAAAACAACCCTGGAATATCCCTGCTCCCCCTCTAAAAAATAAATAAATTTGTAGACCCATGGAAAATTTTCATCTCTTCTCCTGCTATGTAATTTTTTTTAACCATAGCAACAGACTAGAAGTTATCAAATAGTTGTTTTTATCAACATTTTTTTAATGAACGGATGAAATAATAAAACTCTGTATGTATGTAACTCTTGAGCTTAAAACTCTGAAAAACATTCAGATACAATTAAGTTATAAACAACTGGTAAAAAAAGGAGAGAACAAAGGAAAATTTCATTTTCGAGAACAACTTACCTGTGGAGTTTCTTTCTGTATCACTGCTGATATTTTAAACTTTGTCCGTTTATTGGAATAGCACTTATTTAATGTAAGAACACTTTCTCCATTAACAGGAGCCTCCTGTTAAACACAGAGAAAATACATGTAACAATTGTGGAAACTTTTAAACTACAGTTTAAAGTTAATAAACAAAATTACTCCAACATGTAGCAAACAATTTTCCTGATGTTATGTATGATAATAGGAAAAAAAAAATCTTGACATTTACTTTTAAAATTTTTATACCAATTTAAAGAAATATCACAAAAAAGCAGTAAACTATTAAATTTTCAT